CCGCTATCTCTCTGCAAACCTGCTTTGCAAATAATGAGAAGATAAGGTTTATATCTTGAAAAATTCAGATTCATTAGCCGCTTTTCCTGGTCAAAGAATAAATACATAAACCAGAGTATGGACATATGTGGACAATGATGATTTTCAAGGAGAGAAAGGTATGGGGAGATTCAGTAACTGGTGTTGGTATATAGTAGGTTTACATTTGTTTTCACAGTGTTTTTCACATCTCAATATTCTATTTGCCTTCTCATTTCATGTATCTCATTTCATTATCCCCATTTATGGATAGGCATATGCTGGTAAATAATCTCAAAACAAGGGGTAGAATAGTAAAACCACAAGTTTTCTAAAAAGTAAGCAAAAAGGAAGAAAAAGATGGAAAGGGGGGGAAAAGAATACAAAGCAGTATATTTCTTTCCATGAGTTTAGAGCTGAATTATAATGTTATTCGTTCATTCAATTTGTACGCCCGCCCCCCCCAAACAAGTAATTCAACAAGAATTTAATTATTTGTGGTGTTTTGTATAAAATGATTTCTTCTCCCTTGAATGGTGAGTCTCTACAGTTTCTTGTGACCTAATGTTGGAATGATTTCTAATACAGGTAGTCCTCAACTTACAACGGTGCTCTTAGTGAACATTTGAAGTTATGGCACTAAAAAATGACCTATGACCGTTTTTCACACTTACGACTATTGTAGCATCCCCATGGTCACGTGATCAAATTTCTTGGAAACTGACTCACATTTATGGCTGTTGCAGTATCCTGGGGTCACGGGGTCACCCTTTTGCGACCTTCTGACAAGCAAAGTCCATGGGGAAATCAGAGTCCCTGCCTCAACAAACCTTGTTACTAATTTAACAACTGCTGTGATTCACTTAACAATTCACTTAACCACAGTGGTGCAGTCGTTAGAGTGCAGTACTGCAAGCTACTTCTGCTGACTGCCATCTGCCTGCAATTTGGCAGTTTGAATCTCACCAGACTCAAGGTTGACTCATCCCTCCATCCTTCCGAGGTGGGTAAAATGAAGACCCAGATTGTTCGGGAATATGCTGACTCTATAAACCGCTTAAAGAGGGCTGTAAAAGCACTGTGAAGCGGTATATAAGTCTAAATGCTATTGCTATTAAAAACCGAGTTAGGTTGGATTGTAAATCCAGCAATTCCCTCAACAGCAGCAATTAACAACTGTGGCAAGAAAAGGGGCCAAATTCATTTAACCAATGTTTCACTTCGTAAGAAAAATGCTGGGTTCCATTGTGGTTGTGAAGGTGAGGACTACCCACAAGGAGGGGGGGGGGAATCAATGGGCCCTCTTACCTGTTGCTAAACTACAACTCCGAGCATTCCTCGTTGCCTCATAATTTCAGCCTAATTTGGAAGTCTGCGTCTTTCAGTCTCTTCCTTTCCCTACCCCAATTTTGGGGCAACTTCTTAATGATGGTTAGGGATTTTTCATCAATTTTCCAAGGTAGAAAAAAAAAATCACACACACCCTATCCCGGCAAGGATATTTCACAATTCTCCCTGGAAAAAGCCAGGCTTTAAGGCACTTGGCAAATAATATATTTTTTAAAAAGCTGCCTTTGGATTTTGCAGCAAGGATGGCGCTTGAGAGAGAGACAGAGATACAGTCTCACAGAGAGAGACAGAGAGAGTGAGAGAGATACAGAGAGAGAGAGAGATACAGAGACAGAGAATGAGTCAGACAGAGTGAGAGAGAGCTATTCAGAGAATGAGAGATAGAGAATGAGAGTCAGAGACAGAGAGTGAGAAAGATACACACATACACATACAGAGATACAGAAATATAGAGTGAATGAGAGAGATACAGATAGAGTGAATGAGTCAGTGAGACAGAGTGTGTGAGAGAGATACAGACACATAGACAGAGTGAGTGAATGATAGATAGATAGATAGATAGATAGATAGACAGATATAGATAGATAGATAGATAGATAGATAGATAGATAGATAGA